TTTTTATGCTTTATTTTCCTAACACGCAAACTATTTCCGCTGAGTCCCCAAAATTTGTGGGTTCACTAATATATACAATTCAATAATATATAAATTAATACAAGTTCTTTTATTTGCACAATTATTTGCGCCGTCTCCACTCTGTGTTCATTATGCGGTCAAAGCCTTCTTTCTCGTTTCATTTTTTTTTTTTTTAATTTGACAGTCATGTCTAGGTGTTGCCAGATCCTACAATAGTTAGAGTAAATTTGAAAGCTTTAACCTGAATCGCGTAATATACTTAAATTTAAAAATTGTAGTGTACTTAAATCTTAGCCGCGGTTCCAAACTATATTTTTCAAAGTAAGTGTAAATTTTAAAGCTTTCTCTTGAAACTCATAATATACAGGGTTAGGTGATAGACTTATTAAATTTTCAATAGTTATCATTAAAATTTATCAATTGAATCTATTAAATCAATTCAGTATAAAGTTACCTATAATTTGGATTTATTATAATTTCCGCCTAGGAGCAGAATATCAAATAAAATAAAATTCTCGCTTAGGAGCAAGATATTTTGCTTTTAGTAATTTTTGCTTAGGAGTAAAATATTGCTGACAGTCAAAAACTAAAGATCGATTTCAATTGATGATTTTATTGAAAATGCATTGGCGGAGTCCCAATGCGACCTTTAGGGCTGTTGTTGGGGGTAGTTCTCATTGCTCCACTTATCATTATGCAGGCTAATCTCTGCAGCTTACGTAGCTTGTCTATCACAGTCTTTTGCTGATCTTTTTTGTACAAGATAGCTGACCCATAAGTAACAATTGTCCTAGCAATAGATGTGTACATCCAGAGGCTGAGTTTAGAATGTAGGCCCCAGTGCTTACCAATGAGGTTTCTGTGGTCCATAATGCCTCTCTGACTCTTCGAATAATGTTGTCTACATGAGAATTCCACGTTAATTTCTTATCCAGAAGGAATCTCCATATAGTAATGGGTTAATAGAAAGTACCCTTTTCCTTTTCTTGATGAAGACAAACAGACTTGTTTTTTTAAGATTTTATTTAATGCTACTTCTCTACACCATCTAGCTACAATATTCAGAGCTTTGTTGGAGACGATTTTTGATCGTGTCTTCATATTAACCCCTAACAAGTATGACTATATCGTCAGCATAGGCTTGTGCCACGAACTGTTTGGCACTGAGTCGATGCAAGAGCTCGTCCACTGCAATTGACCACAGAAGTGGGGATAATACACCCCCTTGTGGGCA